ACTCAAACTATTAACAATTACATGTTGAATGAATCGATAAATAAAAATGTAGGAGGAGATCATTTAAATAGTCATATGAATGTAAATACAAATAATGGTAGAAATGATAATGGTAGAAATGATAATGGTAGAAATGAAAAAGATATGGATAATTATGTGGGTTGGGATAATTTTTCTTTATTTGGAAAAACAAAAACACTTATTCCAGAAAACGATTATTTTAAAATTTTTAATTACGGAATATGTAATAATATTGACAATAAGATATATGAAAATTGTGAGGTGTATAAAAATGAAATAGATAAAGTTGATAAATCTTTGTTTATTCTTTAAAAATATTATCAAAAAAAAAAAAAAAAAAATAAAATAATAAAATAAAAAATAAAAAAAATAAGTATTATAAAATATAATAAAATTAGATTAATTAAAAATAATTAAATTTTTAACAAAATTAAAATTAAAACAAAATTAATTGTGACCATTATTAAAAAATAGAAAAAATATATAAACTATATATATATTGAATGAAATAAATAAAAAACATTAAATTATATATGGAAATATATATATATAATAATAATAATAATATATTAATACATATGTGTGTATATCTAAAATTTAATTTTATTTTTTTAATTATGTTTTTAAAAGTATCTTTTTTAAGTTTTTTTTAATAATTAATATTTGTTTCATTGAATAATAATATATATGTATATATGGTAAAAAAGAAAAAAATTGTAATAATGAGAATTTATTATATTTTTAATGTGTTCCAATTTTTTTTTAATTAACCTAAACTTTAAAGAAAAAAATAACAAAAACTTTTTGAATATATAATTATAGAAAAAAAAAAAAAAAAAAAAAAAACAAGAAAGAAAAAAAAAGAAAAAAAGAAATTTCACGTTATTTTAAACGTTTACAGAAAAATACAGAAAAAGGAACTTAAGAATTATTCATAAAAGGATTATTAAATTACATTTAAGGATTATTCATTTTATATACACACTATTATGTGAATATGCATTTGCATTAAACTTTATTATGGAAAACTTTTGAAGAAAAAAAAAAAAAAAAAATAATAAAAATTTTGCTATTTAATTTTTAAGAATTATAAAATTTTACATTTTTTTTAAACAATATCATAACCTAAAACTCTAGCAATTAATTCAAGACATAATTTTCCTGTTTTTGTTGCATTTTCTGATATAGGTAATGAATCACCATGAAATTTTTTTTCTTTTTCATCTAATGATGGATTATATTCAACTAAATCCATTGATACAACTCGTTTTGTGTCTGACAAAATTTTCATTAATAAATTTATTTCTCTATATGTTAATCCTCCTTTTGCAATTGTTCCAGTACCAGGAGCAAAAATATTATCAACACTATCAATATCTAATGAAATATGAATTGGACATTTTTCATTAGGATCAATTCTTTTTAGAGCATTTAATATTGTATTATATATTCCATTCTGTTCAACATCAAAAATGGTATAATAATTAATATTATATTTTTTTAAAATAATTTTTTCATATGTATCAATATCTCTTATTCCTATAATAGCTAAATTTTCTGGTTTTAAATAAATTAAATTTTCTGACCATTCAAAATATGGAACTTTTTTTTTAAAAAGTCCTAACGAATGGGCCAATGGCATACCGTGATAATTTCCTGAAGGAGATGTTTCAGGAGTATTAATATCTCCATGAGCATCTATCCATATAACTCGTAAATCCTTATAAATTTGTAATGAACTTAAAATACTAGCAAATGCTACACTATGATCTCCACCAATATTTAAAACAAAATTTTTTTTTTTTAATTCATTACTCATAACATGAAATAGTCTTTCACTAAATTTTCCAATTAATTCTATATTTTTTATATTACTATAATAATCATTTTCTAAATACTTTTTAGTTATAGGTTCACATATAATATTATTACATCCATTCAAAGGTTTATCTGAAGAGTATACTTTCTTTCCTCTATTGTCTATTTCTACATTTTCTTCTTCCCCTTTTTTTTTATTTATTTCATTATGTTCCTCTATATTACCCAAATCTTCATATTTCCAACCCAAAAAATTTATTACATTATGTAAACCTAATTTTCTTAAATCGTCACAAGCTAACTGCACACCACCTAAGGGTTGTCCAGCTCCAAGTGGAGAACCAATTATAGAAACATTTTTCTCTACATATAGATTTTTTTTTTCTTTAAAAGTCTTTATATAATTTTCAATACTCTCAAGCATGTTTAATTGATTTTTTAAAAAAATATTATTTTCCTATTATTCAATACTATTAAATTATTTAAAAATATGGAGTGCTTATAATATATAGTCAAAAAATATCCTATAAATTAAAAATAGTGCAAAAAAAAAATAAGAATTCATAAAAAAAAAAAAAAAAAAAATTAATAATATAATATTATAAAATTATCAAAAATATATCACTAATAAAAAAAAAAAAAAAAAAAAAAAAAAAAAATA